AGCTAATATATACGCATTAAATTCAGTTTTATTGCTACAAATAAATAATTATCAACATTTTATGTATTGGGTTATTTGAATAATCCCTTGATTGTCTTATCAAATTGTTTTGTTTTAAGAAATGAAAACTATATTGATAATTTATAGGCCAATACCCACACAGGTTTTTATTCATGAGTTCAAACTTATTTTACAGAGTTTGTGTTTTGGGAATTTCACAGAGTAATATGGAACCATACGAATGGTGGAGATCAAAGTCTCTCTAGGAACACATTCAATATCACATAAAGGAAAAGACGAACAATAAATAAGTTGTAGAAATTTGGAACTTAATGTGAAAACCTTTTCTCCACAAAAAAAGCAAATTATGTTAGATATTATTAGATGCTTCCAAAATTATGTAACATAAATAAATAAAAGGATTTTAAAGCATGAATTGAAGCAAATGAATCTTACCAAAATCATCAAAAAGAGATTCTAGAACACCTTTGCCCAAAGTGTATTTGTAATATACATCATTAGTTTTTTTAAACTTGTAATGATATGCTGACTGAAAATTAAAATAAAAAAGAGATTGAAAAGTAGATCAGCTACAAGATATCGAATGAACAATCCCACATCTTGTCTCATATTGGACTTTTCTAAACCCATATCCAACTCCCAAATTAGTATAATATTGTCCGCTTTAGGTTCAACTGACAAAGCCCGCACGGATTTGATTTTTGAGCTCCTTCCCAAAAGACCTCATACTAATTGGAGTTGGACACTATTTATATACTAGACCATATTGGTCTAAAGTTTCGATGTGGGACTTTGGATTGATTCCCAACAATCTCCCCCTCAAGCCAAAGACCCTATAACTCTTGATCTCTAACCTACAGCGATACTTAGTACCATCTTGTACATCTTAATCGTAAAGTCATCTTGAGGGGTTTCTCTTTCACACTGAACATTCAGTCCAATTCAGTTCTCCAGGTCCTCTTTTCTTTAACCTGAGCTCTGATACCATTTATTGGGCTTTTCTAAACCCATATCCAAGTCCCCAATTAGTATGATATTGTCCGCTTTGGGCTCAACTGACAAAACCCAAACGGATTTGATTTTTGGGCTGCTTCCCAAAAGGCTTCATACTAATTGGAGTTGGACACTATACTAGACCATATTGGTCTAAACTTCCGATGTGGGACTTTGGATTGATTCCCAACATCTCATATATGCCTCGACCTGTACTCGCAGCAGCAGTTGGTTTGAGTGATGCCGCAGTGGCAGCTCTGAAGCATTTCCCCTTCCTGATGGCATCCTCTTCTCCATGTTGACTGAGGATTAGTTATATATTGTCTGGATGATCAATTACGTGAGAAGTAAGTTAGTCAATATATTTGCATTTCGAGCAAGAGATACACCAATTTATTGTTACTATAAGTAACTACAATCTTACAGTTATTAAAAAAAAAATAATGGCTTGCATTTTGAGCATTCTTCTTCCATCAATCACTTTTATATTATCATTAGTATATGATAACACCGTATTTGTACTCATTTTTACTATTGATTTCAATTGCTTTTTCAAAGGTTTTAATCAGTTTTAGGAACTTTAATTATGATTTCTATGTATTTGTAGTTTTAAGGCTCTTTTCAGGAAACTTAGGGAAAATGATGGCAAAATGGAAGAAATCCACATTACAGCTCAGAGTCAGACTGTCAGATTATATATATATATCGATTAGGATATAAAACTCTTTTGCAACATCAGCCCTAGTTCGCATCAGTACACAAAATATTTTTAACTTAAACTGATAAGCATTTAAAAAACTACAAGCGTATGTAATCAAATGCATACCATAACGATGTTGCGTAAGGCGACTTCTCTTCAGCATGTTGACATGAATCAGCTTATTCATTCATATCAACATATCCTTTGAGGTCACCGCTTACCTTGTTTGTGGCTTTCATGGAAGAGAGGCAGAGCCGAGAAGACGCAATCTAGCACTTATTTGTTTCGATCTTGCTTTTCGTCGAATCAAAGTAAAATGAAATCTACGACGAATTAGATTTATAAGTTAGAATCAAAACAACAAAATTTCACATAAAACCAAGCATCATGAAAACTTACTTTGAACAACCAATCAAAGTGCAGGTCTTGGCTAGAACCAGCAACATAGATAATCCACTTAGCCTTCTCTTCAGGTCAAGGTTTTATCATCAGCAGACAGTCATCAAAAGAATGTGCATGCTGAAGCTGAACCATACACTTTGGTACAAACATATACACTGCAATTTATCAGGATTTTTAGAAAAAAAACATTGAAAGTAAATCCACCATCCGCTGTCTCATAGTTATAGCCACCAGCACTCTTCACAACCATGAGTGGCTTAGCTACGCCTTCAAGAACAATCACTTGAGCACTTTCATTATTCATTAACCAACATTGTGTGAGTCTGTGAGCAGAAACTCGCACAACCAAAAATTTGTTAAGGAAAACTTAAGGGATCCAAAATTTCTAGGGTTTATCGCAAGAACGGTAAGATCAAAAGAAGGTTTTTTACTAGAAAAGTGTTTAAGTCTTATTCCTCTCGAGTTGCGAAAAAGTTATATAATGAATCGCATACATCCTCTATTTATACTAATTCTTTAAACCGCCTAGCCGAAAATCTCAGGAGAGATTTTTTGAATATTTCCTTATCGCTTTGTGCGGCCACCGACTTAATGGCTCACCCAGGGTTCTACATGGGCTTCCTCGTACAGCTCGGCCCAACTCAGGTTAATAGGGGGCTCGGCCCATTCCGCTTTACGGCTTGATCCATATCGATTCAGGGCCTGCATCATTACGCGGCTCAGCCCATACCATTTGTACGGTTCAGCCCACATCGCCCCACAGCTCGGTCCGTGCTGCTTCTAGGGCTCGGCCCATATCATTTCGGGGCTTGGCCCATCTTGCTTCATGGATGGGCTCGGCTTGTTTCCTCATGGAACTCGGGTTTGTTAATACCTTTTGACACTTAGTCATTTTGAGATGGTTAGTTCAGCTAGGGTGGAAACCAACCCCAACAGTTAGCCCCCTAGCTCGTCGGTCTCGGAGACGAGAGTAATGAGGTATGAAGCTCTGAAGGATGGATTGACCATGTTCACCGAGCTGCTGTGGTGCGGTTTTGCCGAGCCTTTTCAAGGTGAAATGATACCAAGCCGTTGTGCTGGTAATGTGATTCCAGTGAGATGCCAAGCTATTTATTTGACGAGGCGATTAAGATGCCGAGCCGTCATAGAACAATAATGACGAGGTATTCTTGACAGGATGTCGAGCTAAAGAGGCGTCTCTCGAATGACAAGACATTTTGTACGAGAACGTTTGTGCGGCGCCGAGCCGTGTCGATGACGAGGCGTTTCTCAAAAGAAGGCCAAGTCATGTTAACAACGAGGCATTTTACAAGTGAATGCCGAGCCACGTTTATGACGAAGCCCTTTGTTTTTTTTTTTTTAAAAAAGAAAGCCGAGACATGTTAACAACGAGGCGTTTACGAGTGAATGCCGAGCCGTGCTAATGACGAGGCGTTTTTCAAAAGAATGTCAGGCCATGTTAACGACGAGGCATTTTACGAGTGAATGCCAAGCCGTGTCAATGACGAGGCGTTTTTCAAAAGAATGCCGGGCCATGTTAATGACGAAGCGTTTTACGAGTGAATGCCGAGCCGTGTTAATGACAAAGCGTTTTCAAAAGAATGCCGGGCCATGTTAACGACAAGGCGTTTAACGAGTGAATGCCGAACCGTGTTAATCACGAGGCATTTTTCAAAAGAATGCCGGGCCATGTTAACGACGAGGCGTTTAACGAGTGAATGCCGAACCGTGTTAATGACGAGGCGTTTTTCAAAAGAATTCCGGGCCATGTTAACGACGAGGCGTTTTACGAGTGAATTCCGAGGTGTTCTTAGTGAAGGGCACAGATGAACCGTTTTTGATGACGAGGTACCACTACAGCGTCGATCCACTCAGTTCATGAGACATTCTTGGATATGTAGTTGTACTGTCCGGACGGCTCGGTTGGCCTAGGTGCATTACAGGAGATGTATTTACCAATCGTCGGTTCCTCGAAAGGAAATCTTGGGTATTGGCGCGTGCAACGAACGCACCTAGAATTTGTTCAGACACCGCGGATCCCACGCGCTCTTATTTATTAATCTTTGCAGCTTTCCGAGGTCTATGCGGATCCCACGCGCCTCGGCTGTTCTATTAAAGGATAAGCCCCCTTCACTTCTCCCTCATAACTTCAGATCTTCGATTTTCACTAAAGGTAGCTCTCCCTTCTCTCTTCTTTCTCTCTCTAGTTTATTTATTTTTCCGGCTAGGTTTCCGAGGCCTCCGCTGTCTCAGATCTTTTACCGAAGAACCTTGCCGTGAAGTATTGTAATTTTTGTACGAGTTGTAAAACATGTCGGACCGCTCGGATGATTCGCTAGAACCCCTTTTTCACTACGATCCGAGCCGTGCAGACGGCGAGGAAAAGGGTGCGATAGGGTCCTCCGAGGCATCCGCCTCACTGAGCCCTTCCAACGATTTCTCCGAGGGCAACGAGGCGTTGAATTCTCCGAGCCCCTCTGGTGCTTGCGCTGTAAATAAAGAAGTTTTGCTTTGACGAGCTGCTCCCAGGGTCCTGTCAACAACGAAGACGTTGATTACGCCGCGGTGAAAGCCGAGGAGGAAGCGTTCCCCTTTGACCCAGTCGAGGCGAGACTTGAATTAGAACGTCTCATGGCGTCATGGGAGGAGGAAATCCAAAAGAGGGAAAAGGCAAAGACCCGACCCTCTTGGTTCCACGCTCTCTTCTCCTGAGTCACTCGAGGCATAACGACACTGCTTTGGAATCTCCGAGGCAGTCAAATTCGTCCTTCCGAAGAAAATTGATCGAGCCGACAAGCCTCTCGAGAATCATTTTACCCTATACAAGGCGTTCTTTGATCTCCGTTTTCTTTGGTTCCCAATCATACCGAGGGGCTTACGGCATATGATTGACATCTTGGTTCGGAGTTTTGAGTGTGGTCTCGACATCGAGCTGGGTCATCTGCTAAATTTGTTGGATATCAGAAGAGTCCCGGGAGGAGGCAGATTTTATATTTCCAATAAGTCTAACCGTCAGGTTATAGGCGGTTTCTCGAGCAAAGACCAGTTTTGGACCGAACGCTTCTTCTACATTCTGGTGAACGAGGCGTCGGTGGGCGACGACTTCTTCCATAAGACAAAGACCGTTTGGGGACCACTTGGTAGTTGATCCGAAGCCTTGCCTTGGCTCGAAGATGCTATGGTGCGATTTCTACGTTCTAACCTGGTCGTTTTGTGTATTGTTTTTTCAGTTCGGAGCATCCTCCCTTCTCTTCCTGATGACCTTTTCATTGTTCGAGATACTCTCGCGGCTCGGAGAGTTAATTGGAGGAAACACTTCACGTTAGAGAGAGTAAAGAGAGCCCGAGCCATTTTTACCGGGGTGTCCATTAGTTCTTCATCGTCAAATTCTTCAGGAGACACGAGAGAAAAGATAGTGGTCATCATGCTTAGGGAAAGGAAGAGACGTGAATCCGAGGAGGCCGCCAGACGAGCTGCCCAAGCATCTAAAGTAGAGACTGAGGTGGTGTCTCGAGAAGAGCCGGCAAACCTTGAGGGGGGTGATGTGGCCCGAGCTGCTGAAGCAGATGTCGCCGAGGCGACTACGAAAGAGGCAGCGCCCGAGGTGGAATCGGGTGAGATTGTCCCCGAGGCGTCTAGAGAGAACTCTGCGTCTTGGAGCAAGACGCCAACCGCCTCGGCCATTCTGGCCCTTCCGATATCATCAAGGCCCCTAGATTTAAATCTGTTGAAGCATGATGCCAGTAGAAAACGGTCAGCTACGAAAAAAGGGAAAGGGGTGGCCACTCAGAAGGACGAGCCGTCCAAGAATAAGCGCAAGCCAGCCTCCGGCGAGACTACGTCGCATAAGCTGGTTGTTGATGACCCGGCCGCTTCTGCAGTGATGTTTTTAAGTGTTAACAATGCCAACACGCGACTTCCACCTCCCGAGCAGCTGAGGAGATCGAAGTCCTATGCCATGATGGCGCAGCGCGGCACCAAGGTTTTTTCTTTTTTTCTTTTTGCATTCCCCTTTTCTTCCGTGTTATTAGTTTCGGCTTAGAGTTTAACACGCTTTTTTTTTGTAGTTCGTTGCGGCTATCAACGAGATGATGGCCGGCTATGAGTCGGACTTGGTTAAAGACGAGCGCTATTTGGAGGAGGCTTGGAAGGAGGCCGCAGCGGCTATGGGAAAGTTAAACGAGGCGATGGCCAAGGTCAAGAAGCTGGAAGAGGAAATTATAGCTCTTCGGACCGACGTCGACAAGGTGTCGTCCGCGGTTACTCGCCTCGAGGAGTCCAGGAGGGCTAAGAGTCTTGAGGTGGCTTTGTTGAAGAGGCGCATTGAGACTAAGGATGCCCTGTTTCAAGCTAAAATAAAGAGGGCTAAGAAGGAGGCGAGGCGTGAGTTGACGGCCGAATTCCAGGAGCGTCTCGCCAAAGTGGAGGATGGGCTTGCCAAGCTTCAGAAGGCCAAGGACGATGAGAATGAGCTCGGTCAGATTAAGAGCAACATCGTTATGATCGAAGAGCTTCGGAAACCCAACAGGTCGACTTTGGATATAGAGGAGGCGAAGTTTAAGAGTTGGGAGAATGACTACGTTGATGATGAGGCGTATGAGCGTATCGCCTCCGAGATCCGAGGCGAGATGGTCTTTTCACCTGTTCCTCCTGATTCTGTGGACACCTGCCTAGGCAACGAGCCGATCGAGGAAACGGCGGCTAGTATCGGTGTGGGGGATCCTACTGGGTCGAACGTTGGTACTCCGGCTCTCTCGAACCTCCTCGCCGAAAGCGAGACGCGCCGCACAGCTTGATCCTTGTCGCTTTTTCCCTCTCCTTTTTAGATTTTTTTTTTGTTTTTTGACAAAAATGCCTGGGCGGCTTTATCCATCTCTTATACTCGTACTTATTTCAGTATTTGTGCCTGGACGGCTTTATCCGGCTTATTTGTACTATCGAACTCAAGTTCACGGCGGAAACACATTCGCGACTCCTTCTGATTTCCTCAAATTGTTTTGATGCCTGCTGGAGGCGGGAACTTGATGCAGAGGTGATAGGTGGAAGGGATTGCTCTCATTGGGTTTATCCTTGGAGTCCCCATGATCACGTTGTAGATCGCTGGGTGGTCGGTGACCGAGAATTTGACGATCTTAGTAACTGCACCAGCCACCACGGGGAGTCTGATTGTGCCAATAGTCATTGTTGTTTCTCCTGAAAATCCAGTTAGAGGCTTAGGGACAGCCGTCACCTCAGAGAGGCCGATTCCCATCCTTCTGAGTGTATCTCTAAAGATAAGATCTACCGAGCTCCCGGTGTCGATGAGTACTCTTGCTATGTCATGGTCTCTGATCGTTATTTCGATCACTAGTGGATCAGTGTGTGGTCTATCTATCCCTGCTGTTTCTTCCTCGGCAAAAGAGATTACCGTGTTCGGGAGATTGGTCGGTTCAGTCCAATTTTTCTTCGCTTTGGCTCGGCGCTGATAGGCTTTGATAGAGGTTACCGTGTCTTGGTAATATTGGGATCCACCCATAATCATGTTGATCCTTTGCCTCGGCTCGGATCGCTCTTCGGGTTTGCTTCTCCTATCGCGCTTGGTATTGTCATCTCGTCGGGGCGGATTTGTGGGTTCTGCCACGCCGTTCGGCTCGGTTCCCTCCTTCGAATCGGTAGGGGCGAGGTCTTTAAGATTCACCGCACGCTGGAGCTCTCCTGCTGCCATTTTAGCTGCGAGTTTTGCTCCTAGGGTTTGGCATTGCGCTGTTGAGTGCCCGTAGGTTTGATGATACTCGCAGAACGCCTTTTCGTCGTAGTTAGTGGGCCTCCTTACCCAAGTGTTACTACGCGGCTCTCTCCTTCCGCGTCCAGCGCCTACTTGGTAGTTGTGGGCACCTCCGCTTCTTGGTTCCTCCGAGCTCTGCATCGTGTTGTTTGAGGGATTACCTTTCTTCGAGGAGCGCGTCAGGATTGAGCTCCGGATCGCTTCTTTCGTCGCTTCGTACTGCTCGTCCAGATTTTTTATTTCTTCTTCGTTCACAACGAAGTCTAACGACCGATGTAAAGCATCCTGAATTGTTTACGGCGTGTTGAGCATTTCCCGTCGAAATTTGGATTTGTACCACAAGGATCGCTTCAGGGCCTCGAGTGCAGCCTTGTCGCTTATTCCTTCTACTTTGGACACAACCGCCTTGAATCTTGCAATGTAGTCCCGAAGCGGCTCGTTTGGTCCTTGGGATAGTGTCCATACATCAGCATCGGAAGTTCCTCGATCCATGAACATCAAATACTGCTTGAGGAACAAAGCGGAAAGCTGTTGGAAGCTGCTGATCGAGTTGCGCTCCTGCCTCGAAAACCATTCCAGTGTGGCTCCCTTAAGATGCTCTACGAATAACAGATAATAACCGGCGTCTTTCTCCTGATCGGTCAGATATGCGCCTTCGGGTCGGTAGTGCCTTCGTAGAATGGGATTCTAACTTTCCCAGGTTTGGGAATCCTAGCCTCCGTGATTCTTGTTGTGAACGGGGTTCTTTGGGTTTCCTCGAGCATTCGATCAATCTCTGGCGCGACACTTGTCGCGTTATGCACGCGTTTCTCGGCCACTATCCGAAACATTGAAGCTCGCAACTCTTAGATCTCGAGGGTCTACGCGCGGGTCGTTCTCCTAGGTTGGCGAGGTCGCTCCTGATCTTCTCTCCTCGGCTTGTCTTTGTACTCTGCCTGCTCGAACCATTGGAGATTTACCTCTTCCTCAGTTGGGTTGTTGTTGCGAACTGGGTCGGTGACTTCGTCAGCCTGGATGCCATTTAGTGATGAGGCGAGCTCTTCTTGACATATCCGCCGAGCTGAGCCTTTTTGTTGCGAGTTCCTGGTTCCGTCATTTTACTGGGCGTCCACATCGATCACGTTGTTCTCCTCTTCATCGCCTTGTCGTCTTGAATTCCGACGAAGCGGGGGCGGCTCGGTCATGTTGATTCGGGTAGCTGCGGGAGTTTGTTCGCCGAGGAGACAAAACAATGGCGGAGCCATGGGATTTCTTATGCCACTACCTGAGGCTCCTGCAGGTGTTGAGAAATCGAAACGTCTCCTAACTCCATCTGTCGGGTCGGAGATCCTGGCTCTCCAAGTTGGGTGCCTTCTTTCGGCCGTCATTGCGTCAAGTCTCTCCGTAATCGCCTCGTTCCTCTTGTCCTGCTCGTCAATTTTCTTCATCAATGTGGCCATCATGTTTCACATATCCTCTTGGGCTTCGGTGGTCTTCGCTGTCGTGCTTGATGGTGGAGCGTCCTTCTCCGCGCCGTTGTTGTTGTTGTCGTCTCCGGGTGCGTCCGATGCCATGTTCTTTGGATCTTTAGCTCTTGACAATATTGAGTAAGAAAATTTTGATTCCTCACAGACGGCGCTAATTTGTATGAGCCAAAACTCGCACAACCAAAAATTTGTTAAGGAAAACTTAAGGGATACGGAATTTCTAGGGTTTATCGCAAGAATAGAAAGATCAAAAGAATGTTTTTTACTGGAAAAGTGTTTAAGTGTTATTCCTCTCGAGTTGTGAAAAGTTACATAATGAATCGCATACTTCGTTTATTTATACTAATTCTCTAAACCGCATAGCCAAAAATCCCGGGAGAGATTTTCGGAATATTTCCTTATCGCTTCGTGCGACTAGGGTTCTTCATGGGCTTCCTCATACAGCTCGGCCCAACTCAGGTTAATAGGGGGCTCGGCTCATTCCGCTTCTTGATCCATATCGATTCAGGACCTGCATCGTAAGCGGCTTTGCCCATACCATATGTACGGTTCGGCCCACATCGCCCCACAGGTCGGTCCGTGCTGCTTTTAGGGCTCGACCCATATCATTTCGGGCCTCGGCCCATGTTGCTTCATGGATGGGCTCGGCTTGTTTTCCTCATAGAACTCGGGTTTGTCAATACCTTTTGACACTTATTCGTTTTGAGATGGTTAATTCAGCTAGGGTGGAAACTGACCCCAACAAACATCTTACTTCTTAACTATTCAATAGCTTGAGGGATTTAAGGTATGTAAAAGCTTTCTCCCTGTTATGTTACAACTTACAACCCATCCATTTATCAGTTTTGATTTTCATTATGGGTCACTAATATCATGCCGTATAGAAATAAAAAAAATTGATGTGGAGAAATTTCTTACCTTGTCTTCAAGCTCAACTCCGAGTCATTGATAAGTTTTAGTAATATCACTTCGCCTGATTTCAGAAATCTTAGCCTGAACCTGGCGATGCATAGGATCCCCACTATACCCAAAAGGTGATTTTGTTTAGAAATACAGTGGATTAGATAGTAATGCAACCAAGGAATTCATATTCTTTGCTGCAGAATTTTGAATTGACTATTGTTGTAAGCCTAGCCATTCCGCAAAAGTCTTGATAGAACATCACACCAACTATTAATCAAAACATCTAAACTGAGACATATGGTAACATAAATTAAAAGACCAATAATCAAACTGTAACACTTATGCAAACTTGTAATCCTCACTTGATTTATCATCTATACCTAAGAGAGAGTTGTCCTAAAACTGCATTTGTCAAGATTCACGAACAAAGGTTCAATATTTTATATCTACTTCCTTTGGTTTAAAAATTTAATATCTACTTCAATGAATTTTTGGAAGATTATGTACCTTGATTCTTCCGTTCCAATCCAATTTCAATATATGTGGTCTTCAATTTCAGTTATAGCCGTTTATCTCTCCGAAATGGCCTTACAAACCCGGTCCTGTCTGATGTGCTCAGGTATTAACTTTAGTTTCCTGCAAGTGCACATGTACGTTGTAGTACTTAGGGGTCGATCCACTGAAGATCAAGTAACTGGAATACGAGTTTACTTGAGATGAGAACTAAGCTAAGATGAAAATATGGGTGTTTGTCTGGGGGTTGTGAATAGTGACAAAAATGACAAATAATAATCTTAAAAACAAGTAAACAATAAGATCAAATCAATACGAGAAGGTGTTGGGCGTTAGGGAATTCGCCGGGAATCATAGACTAGATGACAAGAGAACTAAACATAGAGTTTTCTATAGATATGTTCATGAAATCAAACCAAGACTAACCTACTCATAGTAGTATTTAATCACAAATCCATTCACCCAGATTTACTAAACTCCCATTCAGTTCTCTAAGTGTCTAGACAAATTAGTTTGATAACTTCACAAAACGCTTTAGATCGACTCACACCTTCTAAGAGAATTTTTTCATCTAAATATGGTTAATCGATTCAACAACACTTTCGGTGAGTAATTCAACTTAATCGCAGTAGCTAGATGGTCGATCCAAGCCACATAAACGAAACACAAATTTGGACGAAGAAATCTAAAGATAAACCCTAATAAAACAAACCAGAAACCAATCAATGAATTTCCTTTGAAAGATCCCTTAAAACCCAACAAGGGAATTACTCAATCATAGTGTATAAGAACATCACAGAAGTATTGTAGTTTGCTGGAAATTAAATAAGAGAAATGTAAAGAATCAAGAACGAAGATGAAGATGGAGATTGATGATGGATCCTTCGGCGACTCCTTCTTCTCCCGAAGACGGCAACTCCGAAGGTATGCGCACTCTTCTCTGCTCTCTCTCCACGACTTGGTCATTAGAATGACCTAGAACGAGTATATATAGCCTTCTAATTCGTTGGAAACGTCTAGGGTTTGAAAAATAAGTAGTGGGCTGAACTTGGGCTTGAATTAGGTCATTTTCGGACGTCATTGATGTCTGGCTGTGGTTGCGGTGGTCCTGACCGCGGGGAAACCTTGTCTGGCCGCGGTCGCGGCTTATGCTCTCCTTCGAGACTGCATTTTCTGCCTTTAGTGCATCAGGAATATCTGAAGATCTAACCATTGGATTGTCTCTAAACAAATTAAATTGGAAAGCTGGTTGTCTCCTCTATGCTGTCTCAAGGTTTGGGAATGATCAGACGGTGAAAAGGTATTCCTCGAGTGCCATACTTCTGAAAGGTATGCATTTATCCAAAATTGCTCATTTGTTCCAAATTGAACATCTTTAGTCCAAGTTTTCTAAAAAGTCTTTTAAAACTCTAAAACAAACTGAGTGTATCCATCTTGTCCATCTTCTACTATCATATTGTGCAATATGATACATGCTCTCATAATCATTCCTATTTTTTCCTTATCCCAAATAAGAGCTGGGTTTTTCACTACGGCAAATCGGGCCTGCAAGACGCCAAAAGCACGTTCGACATCTTTTCAGACGGATTCTTGACATGTAGCAAATAACGATGCTTTCAGACCTTGAGGAAGTTGAATAGATTGGGTAAAAGTAGCCCATTTTGGATAAATACCGTCTGTTAGGTAATACATCAAATGATACTCGTGTCCATTGACGTAGTATTGCACTTTAGGAGCTCGACCTTGTAATATGTCATCGAAAACAGTGGAGTGATCAAGAACATTAATATCGTTTAAGGTACCTAGAGGTCCAAAAACGCGTGCCATATCCAAAGATCTTGTGATGCAACAGCCTCTAAGACGATTGTCGGGTTTTCTGAACCACAAGTATATTGCCTTTTCCAAGCGGTAGAGCAATTCTTCCACTCCCAATGCATACAATCGATGCTCCAATATCGAGTAGTCGATGAAGATCTTCTGGTGTGGGTTTCCTAAGGTACTCATCTCCAAACAAATGTATTATTCCTTCCGTGAAATGTTCCAAGCATAAAATTGCTGTACTTTCACCGAGGCGGAGATATTCGTCAACCGCGTCAGCCGCACAACCATATACCATCATACGGATTGCTGCTGTACATTTTGTGGTCCAGATAGACCCACCCTACCGTCACCATTTATTCTTTGTTGAAAGTATGGAACTTCATTGGAGATTCGATCCAAAATACGCATGAACATGGACTTGTTCATTCTAAAACGGCG